ACGGGGACGGGGCGGGGAATGGCGGAGAGCGCTCACATTGGGGAAAACAAAACCTAAGTACCAGTTCCCAATGGGAGAGGTGAGGCCTCGCAGCTCCTGTGGTTTCTTCTCCAGGAAGTCTTCTAGATACTTCTCCTGGAACACCTTGCCCTCCCAACCCCCTTTACCAAGGCAGGTTTTCTACCTGGAAGCTTTCCCTTAGTCTTCTCCTGAACAAACCCCCAGCCTCCCACCCCCAAAAGAAGCTTCTTAGATCACTTGCTCTATGTTCTTCCAGGCCCTTTTAAAAGCACAAATAACACCAGTTGTAGTAATTTGTATTATTTGCATAAGTACAACTAGGAATAATATTGCTTAATATTACTAGTTAACTCTATGAGCATTTATCATGTGCTATGCACTGTATCAAGTATTTTTTTGCATTTTTAAAAATCGTGGTAAAATATACACAAGATTTGCCATTTTAGCCTTTTCTAAGTATACTATTTAGTAGCATTAAGAACATTCACTATGTTGTGTAACCCTCAAGACCTATTTCCAGAACTTTTTCATCACCCAAACAAACTCTGTACCCTTTAACCAATAGCTCTTTATTCTCCCCTTCCTCCAGCCCCTGGTAATCTCTAATCTACTTTGTCTCCAAGAATTTGCCTGCTCTAGATATTTCATATAAGTGGAATCATACATTTGTCCTATGTCTGGCTTAGTTCACTTAGCATAATGTCCTTCATAAATGGGAAGGCTGAATAATATTTCGTTGTATGTACTCCATTTTGTTTATCCTTTAATGGACACTTGGGTTGTTTCCACCTCTGGCTGTTGTGAATAGTGTGCTCCTGAGAATGTGGGTAAATATGCATCTGTGTGGGTCAGTGGTTTCAGTTCTTTTGGATATAAATCTAGGAGTGGAATTGCCAAATCATATGGTAGTTCCTCAAAAAGGTAGTTTACCTTTATGAGGAACCATCAAACTTTATAGAAGGTTGATACTTAATGTATCTCTTCTAAACTGAGTTCAGTGATAGTAGGGATAGAGGTATCCTATTTATCCTTGTATCTCAGGGCCTGGTACTGTGTCTGATGGGAAGTAGATGCTCAATATATTGTGGAATTAGAGTGGGAAGGCCTGAGTAAATGGGAGATTGAAATACTGGTAAGCCTGGGTTTTCATCATCCAGTGACTGCCTGGAATGAAATATGAAGTCCCATTCCAGCCTCCAGCCATGGGGGTAGGTGACCTATGATGGTGGTGGGTGGTGACTCCTGGGACTTAAGGTCTCACCCCTCTCCTCTGGTTCCCCAGCAAACTACGGAGGAGGAGTTCCAGTTTCTGCGCTGCCAGGGCTGTCAGGCAGAAGCCAAGTGCCCTAAGCTGCTGCTTTGCCTGCACACACTGTGTTCAGGATGCCTGCAGGCCCCGGACATGCGGTGCCCTATCTGCCAGGCGTCCCTTCCTCCTGGCGCTGATGGACCCGTCCTTGATAACATCTTCTTTGAGAGTCTGCAGCGGCGCCTGTCAGTGTACCAGCAGATTGTGGATGCGCAGGCCGTTTGCACCCGCTGCAAAGAGCCGGCAGACTTCTGGTGTTTCGAGTGCGAGCAACTCCTCTGCGCCAGCTGCTTCGAGGCGCATCAGTGGTTCCTCAAGCACGAGGCCCGGCCCCTGGCGGAGCTCCGCGGGCAGGCGGTATGCCAGTTTCTGGACGCCACGCGCAAGTCCAACAACATCTTTTGCGCCAACTCCAACCACCGCAACCCTACACTGACTAGGTGAGCCGGTGGGTGGGTGGCACATCCAAGAACCAGGTAGCTGATGAATGGGGAGCAGGGATCTGGAGTCACAAAGCTGAGAATGTGGGACAAGGAGCTTCTTGTAACTCCAGGTGTGGTCCACAAACAAGTAGCATCAGTAGCGATGATCATAATTTACCAATATGCTATGCCACGCTAGTGGATCGTAATAGTTTCCTCCTATAGTAAATAATACTGCAGAATCATCTTCACACCCTATTCCGTAATTCCTCTAGAATAAATTTTTAGAAATGCCATTGCTGGGTTAAGGGGCATGAAAATTTTACATTTTGATACATGCTACCAAACTGCCTTTTAGAAAGTGAAATTTTCCATAAGCGCTGCCATGGGATCTCTACATAGCTGGATTCTAAGATGAGAGAGATGCAGGCAGTTTCTGTCTGAAAAGTCAAAACCTAACCACCGCGCTATCTGGGAATGTATGTATGGAAAAAATCAATTCCAGTTATCATTATTTTCATTAAACAGCGTAAGATTTCAATTATTTTTAAAAATAAATAATACTATTTATATGGTTCAAAAATTACAAACAAAACTTATGTAGAGAGTGCTAAGTCTCTGTTTCTCTTTATAATCTGCCTAATTCCCACCACTTCATCCTCCTCCCATCCAGGTAATCATTGTCACTAGTTTGAATGTCTCCAGAGTTTCTTTGTGAATATATACACAGATAGAAGTTAGATAGTCTTTTGAGGTCTTATTTATACCCCTTTTGGCCAAAAAAGGAGCATACCTATGTGAACTTCGGGACACCCTCCCCCAGTAAATTTCTTGTGTATTGTGTGCTTGTTCTTGGGGATGTAATTTTAAAGTGAAGAATAGGAGACCCTCTGAGAACTGCATTTCTGCTGAGCTGGCTGTGGCTTACTAGGAGGCTTACCACCTGCACTTCCCACTGCCTCTCTTCCCAACCCCTGCCCCCCACCTCCCGCTCCCAGTTCCTCAACAGTGATATTATCATTTGAATTTGGATTTCTTTGCTTAGTTTTAAGGTTGAGGTTCAGCGGCTTTTCATATGTTTATTTACCATTTTTTCTTCATTTGTGAGTTGCCTATTTGGGTCCTTTGCCTTTTTTTCCCCTTGGAGGAATTAATCTCTTTAATTGTAGGAGGCTGTTGTAGTGCAAACACAATACTTCACACAGCATAAGGTATTGGTGTTTAAGTTTTTAGTTCTATGTAGTCCAATCCATCAATCTCCCTTTATAGCAAGGATGGGGAACCTTTTTCTGCCAAGGGCCATTTGGGTACTTATAACATCATTCGAGGGCCATACAAAATTATCAACTTAAACATTAGCCTGCTATAGTTGGTCAAACATTTAATGAACTCACCCCTAATGCCTTGGCAGGGCCAGACCAAATGGTTTCACGGGCCTCATACAGCCCACCGGCTGGACATTCCCCAGCCCTGCTGTATCTTTTCTAGCTTTGGCCATCCTAGGAAAGATTTTTTTTTCCCATATCAATGTTAAAAATATTTTCTTATATTCTATTTTAATATTTGTATGACTTTATTTTTATAATTAAATTTTTAATTCAAATGGTATTTATTTTTGTGTGTGGTATATATAAGGTAGAAACCTTCACTTTTTTTCTCTCCAAATGAAAAGCCAGTTTTTCTCAATTTTCATTGAAAGATTTTAATAATCCACTCTTGCCCCGATTTGAAATGCCCTAAATAATCATGTACTAAATGCCCATGTAGTCATGAGTATGTTTGTAAATCTGTTCTGTGCCAGTGATCTCACTATTTCTATGCTAATCCATATGCTGTATGGAACTCTGTGGCTTTGTGTTTGATAGGGCAAGTTCCCATTCTTCAAAAATAACTTGCTTTTCTTTTGCTCTTTCTTATGCAGTTTTACAACTTACATATTCATTGGGATTTTGATTGAAATTGCAGTAAAAATGGGGTGAATTGCCCTCATCTCTAGTTATATCTTTTGGGTTTTAGTTTATTCATATATGTCTTGAACTTTTTAAGATTATAGTTAAATTTTGAATATTTAATAATATTGAGAATAGAATGTTAATTATTTCTAATTGGTTATCATTAGCATTCACTAATCCTCTCAACTTATGTGTATTAATTATATCTAGCCAATTATATCGAACTCTTATTCTGTAAGTTTTTCAGTTTCTTTTAATTTTTCTAGGTAACAATCATATCATCTGAAAATAATAAAAAAAATTTCTTTCAGTATTTACACACATTACTTTGTGGCTTTATTTCATTGGCCAGAAGAGTATTGAATAATAGTATTTAGAAAAGGCAACTTTATCTTGTTCCTATCTTCATGAAAAGTTTTCTTATGTTTTCTTGTTTAGTATCATGCTTATTATTGACTTTCTTAGGTAGCTTTTAAAAATCACATTGAGAGCCCTAGCTGGTTTGGCTCAGTGGATAGAGCATTGGACTGTGGACTGGAAGGTCCTGGCTTCGATTCCAGTCAAGGGCACATGCTCAGGTTTGGGGCTTAATCGCCAGTGTGGGGTGTGCAGGAGACAACCGATCAATGATAATCTCTCATTATTGATGTTTCTATGTCTCTCTCCCTTCCTCTCTGAAATCAATAAAAGTACATTAAAAAAATAAAAAATAAAAATCACATTGAGAAAGTTGCTTTTCCATTTCTTGTTTCCTAAGAATTTTGTTTTATTTTTAACAAATAAAAATATTTGTTAAACACTCAGGAATGAGTGTTCTTTTGGACTCTATTAAGCTTGCCTTTCACCTTTTAGTATTATGAATTATATTAATAGGTTTCTTTATGTTGAGCCATTTTTTTAATTCCCAGGAGGAAATCTCTATTTGGTCATAATATACTGTTATTATTTTATTTTATTTTTTTTTAAAATATATTTTATTGATTTTTTACAGAGAGAAAGGGAGAGAGATAGAGAGTTAGAAACATCGATGAGAGAGAAACATCGATCAGCTGCCTCCTGCACATCCCCCGCCGGAGATGTGCGCGCAACCCAGGTACATGCCCTTGACCGGAATCGAACCTGGGACCTTTCAGTCCGCAGGCCGACGCTCTATCCACTGAGCCAAACCGGTTTCGGCCTGTTATTATTTTAATTCATAACTAGTTTCCATTTATAATATTTTATTTAGGCTATTATCTCTACTTATAGATGTGATCAATTTTTATGAATTTGTGTGATTTCTTTTTTAAGTTTTCTTTCAATGAATACTAATCTCTTTCAGTGAATTTGTAAGCTTTCCTCTTATGAACATAATCCTATATAATAAAGAGCTAATATGCTAATTAGACTGAACAGCAGAATGACTGTCCGGACCCGATGATGTCGGGGCTGCAAGGGCCAGCTGAGGCAGCCGGGCTGTAGGGCCAAGCTCCTTGCATGAATTTCGTGCATCGGGTATCTAGTAATATATATAAATTACTTAGCATAGTGCCTTGCACATATTTGCAATAAATGTTAAAATCTTACTATTTATATCCTTTCTTTGCTCTACAATTTAAAGGATGTAAGCAATTGAGGCTATAGAAGTTTCTTGAAAAACTATCTGAGACTGGTGCCTTTTTTGAAGAGTAGATTATTTTTCCATGGTATTGATCTGCTTTGGATCTTGACAGATTTTCTGGAACATTTTCCAGTTCATCCTGAGTTAGCTTTTAGCTTTCATAATTTAAAAATATCCTTTATACCTGTAACTATATCTTCTTTCTTATTTTTAATATATATTTGTGGTTATTTCAGTGATCTTTTCAAAGTACTAGCTTTTGGCCATATATTCCTTATTAATGTTTTCTTTTCAAGTAGCTTGTAATGTTTGCTTTCTATATTTGATGTTAATTTCTATAGTTGATCACTTAATATGTGAGAGTTCTATATCTTAGACTATATTGAGGTTTTCTTTGGGGCCTAGCATATTTTTTGAACTAGTATATTCCTAGGATTTTTTTTAAAATGTGTATTCTTAAGAGTACACACATATCTATCTATCTATGTCTCTATATAAAATATGCATATATTTATGTTATATATATTCTTGTTACTCTTGTTTAAATTTTTAGCAAGCATATTACAACATATTTGTGTGTATGTATATACATTTATCAAGAGTAGAGTGCCACTATTCTTCCAGATAAGATAAAAGCTTTAGCATATTTTTTCAGTCTTTTTCTCCTTTTTTTTCCTACACCCAGATTTAGTTAAATAACATGAAATTTTAGTTCTAGATTATTGCCAAATTTTTATGCCTCTTCTTTCCTAATCATCTTTTCTTAACAGTTATTAAGTGTCTTAATCACATTATAACTTATTTGTTATCTATATTTTAGATTTTAATTTCTCTCATTGCTCACAATTTTTTCTACAGCATATCTTCCCCTTGAATTATTTAATGTGATTAATTTCCCATTTGCCTGAACTATTTTGAGTAATTTTTTGTTTGTTTTTCAAAAAATTTACTTTCTGAGGCCTTAAGTGTCTTAACTTGTATGTTCTTTTGCTGTCACATAAGGGAAAGTTTTGTTAGGTATAAAACTCTGGGGTCACCATCACAGTTCCTTCATCTTGGAATATATAAACACTGCTTTATAAATTTCTGGCTTCCAATGTTGCAGACAAGAAATTCAGTTATTGTCTGATACTTTTTCTTTGTGGTTAATCAGTTTTAGTTTCCTAAGGATTTCATATAATTATTTTCTTTTTTCTTGCAATGATTGATCAGGCTGTATTAGATATAGGTCTTTCCCCCACCCAATGCTCCTCTATGATAGTGTTCATCTGAAAAGTCAAGTCTTCATTTCAAAGATGTTGTCTTCTGCTTTTTTATATATTGATTTCCCTTCATTTGCTTATTTTTTTCTTTTTCAACTATTGCTATATGGATATTGGAACTCCAAATCCATTTTTTACATCTTTTATCCTTTTTTCATTAGTTCTTTTACTTCGCTTTTTTTCTTCCAGATTCTCAGAGTTCCT